CATTTATATTTCTGGACTCCAAATTCTGTTTCATTAATCTTTATGTCTGTACTTATGCCAGTACCACACTGCTTTGATTATTGTAGCTTTATAGTTATTTTGAAATCAGAACATATGAGTCATTGAACTTTTTCTTTTCAAACTGCTTGGGCTGTTCAAGGTCTCTTGCATTTCCATATGAATTTTAGTATCAGTTTGTCAATTTATGGGGGGAAAAAAGCAGCTAGGATTTTGATAGAGATTGCATTGAGTCTGTAGGTCAGTTTGGGAGTGTCATCATCTTAAGTGTTAAGTCTTCTGACCCATGAATATAGGATGTCTTTCCACTTATTTAGGTCTTCCTTCATTTCAACAATATTTCATAGTTTTCAAAGTCAAAGTTTGTACTTCTTTTGTTAATTTTATTCGTTTTGATGCTATTATAAATAGAACTATTTTCTTAATTGAATTTTCAGATTATTCATTGCACAATTAATTTTTGTCTATTTATCTTGTATCCTGCAACCTTTCTGAACTCATTTATTAGTTCCGATAGCTTTTTAGTATATTCCCTACAATTTTCTATGTATAAGATCTTATCTTCTGCAAATAGAGTTAGTTTACTTCTTCCTTTCGAGTTGTCTTTTCTTTTTCTTGCCCATTTGCCCTGGCTAGAAACTTGCAGTACAATACTAAAAATGGTGAGAGCAGACATCCTTGTCTTGTGCCTGATCTTCACAGGGAAGCTTTCAGTCTTTCACTATTAAGGATGAATTTGCTGTCTGTTTTTTGTAGATGTCTTTATCTGATTGAGGAGTTCCTTTTCTTTTCCTTGTTTGTTGAGTGTTTTTATCATTAAAGGCGGTTGGATTTGAGAAGAGCTTTTCAGCATTTATTGAGATGATCATGCGGTTTTTCTCCTATATTCTATTCATATGATTTATTGATTTTCCAATGTTAAACAAATCTTTCATTCCTAGGATACATCCTACTTGGTCGTGGAATATAATTTTTTTTATATGTTATTAGATTCAGTTTTCTGTTACTTCATGGAGGACTTTTTTTTTTGGTCTATATTCATAGTTTTCTTATAATATTTTTGGTTTTGATATCAGGGTAATTCTGGCCTCATGGAATGAATTAGGAAGTTTCCCTCCTCTTCTACCTTTTGGTGGAGATTGAGAAGAATTGACATAAATTCTTTTTTAAATGTTTGGTAGAATTCACCACTGAAACTATCTGAGCCTGGATTTTTCTTTGTGGGAAGTTTTTTGTTTACTAAATCGATCTCTTTACTTGTTATAAGTCTATTCAGAATTTTTATGTATGCGTCAGTTTTGGTACTTGTGTCTCTCTAGGAACTTACCCATCTAGGTTATCTAATTTGCTGGCATACTGTTGTTCATAGTATTGCCCTTTATCTATTATATCTGTAAAGTTGATAGTAATATCCCCTCATTCTTGATTTTAGTAATTTAAGCTTTCACTCTACTTTTTTTGGTTAGTTTCACTAAAGGTTCATCAACTTTTTTTATCTTTTCATTTATTTTCTCTAATATTTCTCTCTTTATTTCATGAATTTCCACTCTAGTCTTTATTCAGTTGCTTTAAGTTTATTTTGCTCTTTTTCCATTTTATTAATGTGGGAGGTTAGGTTATTGATTTGAAATCTTTTCTATTTTTTAATATAGGTGCTAACAGCTATAAATTTCCGTCTGAGCACTGACTGCGTTAGTGGCATCTCATAGGTTTTAGTTTATTGTGTTTTAATTTTCATTCATGTCAAAGTATTTGTAATTTTCCTTGTGACTTCTTTGACTCATTGGTTATTTATGAATGTGTTAATTTTCACATATTTGTTCATTTCTTATTTCCTTTTATTGATTTCTAATTTCATTACAGTGTGGTCAAAGAACATATTTTGTAGGATTTTAGTCTTCTTTAATTTATTGAGGCTTGTTTTTATGGCCTAGCCTATGGTCTATCCTGGAGAATGTTTCATGTGCACTTGAGAAGAATGTATATTCTGCTACTGTTGGGTAGAGTATTCTATAGACGTTTGTTAGCTTTATATTATATTATATTGTATTACATTATATTATACTGTATGTATCACATCTTCTTTATCCAGTCATCTATTGACCTACACTTAGGTTGTTTCCATGTCTTGGCTATTGTGAAAATGCTACAGTGAACATGGAGTACATATATCTTTACAAACAAATGTTATAAAATTTTTCAGGTAGATACCCAGAGGAGAGATTGCAAAATTGTTGGTCTTTCAGAGGTAATGCATCTTTTTTTCTTTCACTGCTTGTGAATTCTCCTTTTTTTTTTTTTTTCCAAATTTCAACAATTTCACTCTGATGTGCTAATGTGATTTTTTTTAATGCGTGTATGTTTATTCTAGTGAAATTCTCCATCATTTCTTCAGTTTTCTTGAACATATTAATTGTAAAATTTTGTTCCTTTTCTAAATAACTGCAGTATATGGATCAACTGTGGGTCTGCCTCTTTTGTCTATTTTTTTCTTGGCTTTCAGTTCTTTTTTCACTGGAATGCTGAATATTATATATGAAGAATTATAGAGTCTCTGGCTGATAGCTTCCTCCAGGGAGGATTTAATTTTCTTCTGGAAGGCAGTTTACAATATGGGCAGATCACCTGGATCACTTGGGGGACCTGAATTCCAGATTTTCTCTTCCTAGGTCGGTGAGGCAACTGAAATATGTGCTTGCTGTTTTAACCTCCAACCAGCTGGTTTTTGCTTTGTTTCTCAGCTGCTTGCTCTGCACATTTGCAGCTTAGGAATGGCAATTGCCTCAATAGGAATCTTGCGCAGAATATTGGGTTCACTTTAGAGTTCATTTTCTCTGGTCCCTTGTGTGCTGACTGCATGGTGGTCTTCCACTCAGGTTTCATCTTTGCATTCTACCAACACTGCCACAGGGCAGCCACAGTCTGTTTAGCTTGTATGCCTCAGCACTAGAATTGGCATATGCCTCCAAGGGAAAAGAGTGGCAGTGATGGTTGGTTCACCTCCTTGCATTTCCCTTCTGCTTGGGATCGTGGCCCTCTAGTCCTGATTGCCTTTGTTGCTCTTCATTGCTTTAAAACACCTGGAGTTTTTGTTTTTTAGCTTTTGTTTCATTTTATTCATCTTTCATATTCTCAGAAGAATTGGGCCGAATACCAGCTTCTTTTTCATAACTGGAAACATAAGTCCCCATCTGATGAGTTTTTAAATTTCTAGAAACATATGATGTTAATTGCCATATGTTTTACACTCTCTAGGATGCAGTGTCAGCCTTACTTGCAAGAACATCAGCTGAGCTGTTGGCCGTGGAACAAGAATTAGCACAAGAAGTAGAAGAACCTGGGCAGGGAGAAGAGCAAAGGCGTCCAGATGGAGACTGGTAAAGCAGTTATTTCTTTTTGCTCTTGAGAACTCAAAGATGTGTTTAGTTTCTCATAAGAAACTTTCAGAGAAACCTTTATAGGTTCAGATCTTATTCTAGTATTATGGAAAGCAGTGTGGCTTCGGGCATGTACCCCTAGAGGAACAACTCTCCTAGGTCATTCGAGAGTCGAAGGAGGTAATGGCAAGATTGTGGGCAAAGTTAATACATCAGCGAGATTCTTTATTTTTCAGTAATTTTTGAGCTTTTTAAACTTCAAGTCTTGAACTATTTTGAAAGGTATGGTAATTGATTGTAGATTTATAGGTAAATTTTAAAACTGACTCTCTTTTCCTTTAAACTACCGGAAGTATTATTTAGGTTCTAGTAAGTTGAAGCAGATATTTAGAAAACAGCTTCTGTGTAGTCGTTTCTCTATTTGTTACCACTTTCGCCTTCTTTTTTGTTCTCTTCTCATTATTCATACCCTATTCTTTAAAGGGAGGCGGGAAGAAACAGAGAGAGAGAGAAAGTTATTATAACTTCTGTCTAGACTTACATATGTATAAAGAACTATCTTTCCCGGTTTGTATTGTTTTCTCTAAAAACAATATTTGAGTGACTGCATTAGTTTTTTAAATATACATGTAAAATCACTTCGATTAACCTTGTATATATAGTGCTTATATTGTTATGTTTGATTGAGCCACTGTTAACCCATATATGCGAATACATATCTAGCATGCATTTGTATATATGTGTCTATATAAAGCTTTTTGAAAATTATAATAACAAGATATATCATAAAAACAAAATCATGGGCATTTGAGAGGAACAGCTTACTACAGTGATATAAAAAGATACAGATATACCTTGTTATCGAAAGTCCTTTATACTGAATAAAAATCAGAGCACTGCAAAAAAAATAAATATGAGAGTGATTATAAGTTTCATCATGGTATCTTTAAATAACAAGCCTTCTTTGTGTATGTAAAATGCAATTTTAAATCACACACATTTCAAAAAATACACTTAGTATGTATCATAAAGGAATTTATAACTCATTGTATTCATTGCTAGCTCTCCCGTGTCCATTTCATGATTAGGCGTTTAGGAACTAATCTGTGCCAATTTGTCAGTATGTCACCAATCACAATTAAAGCTTAACTTTTAGTTATCAGTAGAAAAAGTGTTTGCATTCTAAGAACATGAAACTCCATAAAGCATGAGAAATTCAAAACCACTCTGGTACTTCTGCCTTCCTGTCAATAGAGTTTATACAGAATACAAACCATATGTATATTCTGGACCCCCACTTATAAGCCACCCAAGACCATACCATGGCTTTTGTTAAAAACAAGGTCATATGGTATTAAGAGTCTTCTGTTATTTCAGTAATAAAGCTCCCTTTCCACAAAGTTCTACCTCTGCACAGTTGACAATGGGTATTTTTAATCATTCATTCTTAGCAGAGAGTTACTCCATTCCATAATATGATTAATTTTACAATAATGAACAAATAATACCAAGTTATATTGTTATATCGATATTTTTAAATGGTGGGGTTAAACTTTATATGTGATTTTCAGTATATATCTATTTTAATCTCTAGGAATTAGTTCAAGTGTCATGAATTTACCTTTTAGTAACCAAACTTTGTTGATATTGCTGTAGATTGCTAGAGATGATTTTATTTTTCATGTGCAATTTAGTACAAGTCCCAGGCAAAGAAATGGCTTGAATCATTATGTGTGAGTGTGTTGTTCCTTGTCCACATAACAGGCGAATGTGCCCCAGTTGCACTGTTCACAGAGCACACCTGTTTGACATAAATGTGTTTCGTTTTATTTCACCAAAGGTTAACAATGCTGAGAGAGGCCTCAGATGAGATTGTGGTTGAAGAAGAGGCTGAAGTTACTTTGCCAGAGGGCAGCAGCCATGCAGAAGACCTACATTCATGCCCGCGTATGCCTGAGATGAGTGAAGACACAAGTAGGAAGGAAAGCAACTGTGTCAAAGACCTTGGAAGTCAGCCACCTTCTGGAATACCCACTTTGGTGAATATTTCCAACTATACTCCTAAAGCAGAGCTCTTATAGGCACCATGTCGACTAAGTTTGTCTCTTCAGGTGTAATTTCGTATTAGGATTAGCCAAAGCCCATCAGGGTAGACATTCGTGGGAGTAGGCTGTATGAAGCTTTAAAATTTTCAAATGAGCCCCAAATTTTCATTCTCCACTTAAATTTTATATAAGAAGATAAACAGTGCTATTTAGATCTCGGTAAATGTTCTGCAAATTTTAATTAAAAGCATTTTCAGAATTTCCTGGATAAACACCAGGATGACTATTTAATTGTATTAAGTTTCGTAAATGTAAGTTTATTTCGATTTCAAACATGAAGTAAACGTTTGAATTCATTTTGGTTAGAGGGCAGTCTGACTGAAATCTCTTCTGGAAGATGGCAAGTGGCTCGGTCTAGGCGCAGGCACCAGCCGAATTATTAAGCACGTGACTTCGGTAGTTACATGAGAGATGTTAAGACTGCCATCCCCAGAGGGGGAAACCGTTTTCAAGCTTTGCGATGCCGGCAAACTTGGGGTCTTGTAACAAGTTTAGAAATTTTCAGTTCTTTATTCCTGAGGAAAAAAATACGTACCCTGACTGAAAATTTCATATATATGTATACGTCTAATTACATATTCTATGTAAACCTGTAACTTTGTAGTATATTGTCATTTTCTTATAGTTAATTACTTTTACCATTTATTCTGAAAAAAACCTAATCAGTTTCATGATGATTAATGATGAAGCACGCCCAAATAAGATTGTTTATAGAGCCACATCTACGCTCTGTAAATGTAAACCTTCATTCTTTAGGCCTAGTCTGGTAGAAGTGGCACCTCCATTTGTGGGTAACCCTGTTTGGACAGATACTGTCCCACCCACTGTGGGTCCATCTCTGGGAGTCCCCATCAGGAGTCAGTGAAACCTTTCTCTCAGAAGTGGCCCTAGTGCTCAATGAGTCTCTGTTGTAAGATTAGATATTTTTGTACTTAGAAGAAAGGAGAACAAAGGTATCCACGTCTGTCATCCCCTGAAAAATGACTTCTTTCTCTTCTAGGTTGATAAAGAGACAAATACCGATGAGGCAGATAATGCCAGCATGGCAGTTCGCCCCAAAGACCGCGGCGGGCTGAGCGCTCGGCAGCGTCCCTTCGTGAGGAGCAGCGTGATTGTGCGCTCCCAGACCTTCTCTCCCGGAGAGCGGAACCAGTATATCTGCCGGGTAAGGGGACCGTGGGGGGACCAGCGCTCCTGCCGGGCGCTGGGAGCCCAGCTTCCCCACTCCCACCAGCCAGCAGCCTGTTACACACACTGGGTAGTAGGAGTCTTCAAATTCCCACTACAAGCACTAATTGCTGGAAATGCTTTTATAAAATATACATAAAATATCACAACTCTTACCGTTCTTTTTAGTTTGGGTTTTGGGTTTTTACTTTCTTTTCCCATTGCCTCATTGGCTCTAATGCCATTTACTTCTCCAATAAGTGAAATTAAGGATGTGGCTTTTGTACTTTAAATTTGTACTTCAGAAACTTAATGTGACCCGAGATTTCTATTTTGTATATTTCTGCTGCTTATCATACACCATGTTAGTCCTGCTGAGCCAAGAATTGTGAATGGAGTTGTAGAACAAAAATCATCTTTTAATAATGCCTCCAGACACTGAGTCAGATTCATAGCTCTGTGGAGAACGATTGTGGGATTTGCAGCGATTTACCAAATTCTACTTTTATCAGTATTCACGATTTGTAGTAATATAGGTTTGATATTATCAAATGGCTTAGAAAATACTTTTTAAATTTATTCATTCAATTCAACAAATATTTTTATTAAGCATCTGCTATTAAGCATGTTTCTAGATACTTGGGATTTCTCTAAACAAAAAAGACTTAGAGCTCTGCCTTTGCAGGGCCTACATTCTTATAAGTTGAGCCAAACAATAAACATGATGACTGAATGTGAAGTGTCTTAGATGGGGCTGGTGCCATGGAATAAGAGGAATTGGGAATGGGCTGCCTGGGCTGAGTGTTTTAGATTGTACAAACTAGATTTAGATTGTCTTAACTGTAATTTTGAGCTCTGTACATCAACCTTTCTTTTAAAAAAAGTGAGCGTTGCATATTAGCTAAAAAATGCAAAGCATAATATTATTTCAGAGTATGTATAATTATCTTAACACATGATTTTTGATAACTGCCACCGAAAAGCAATTGTTTAAATTATTTTTAAAAATTAAGTTATTTAAGAAAGCATAAGACAGAGAAAAACTTGTTTGAGGAGGGTCTTTTTAAAGAAATAAACTTCTCTTATCATTACCTGCTTTGTCTGATAAACTTCTCAATTGATGTGCAGTGATCTTTTTTTTATCCTTTGTTGCCAGTTAAATCGAAGTGACAGTGACAGTTCGACCCTGGCTAAAAAATCACTGTTTGTAAGAAACTCCACTGAACGGCGCAGTTTGCGGGTCAAAAGGGTACGTATTCCCTTGGCAACAGCCCCCTGTCCTAGACCGATCCAGAGTCATTATTGCAAAGCATAAATACCAGAACTCTTGAGCGTCATTGCTGCATGCTCTTGGGCCATTGAATGAAGCCGCTGTGATTGCAGATGAGGTTAGAGAATACCCTTTGGCTGTGAATCGGGGATGGATATCAGGTGCTCTTGGTAGGTGGTGAGAAATGACACAAGGGGACAGGAAAACACATTATGTCAGTTACAGAGATGGAGAGAGAATGCGCTTGAGAGCATTCATTCATCATTGGTTTGGATGCTGAGCCAATTAAGGCAAGAAATTTCGTTTGCAGCATCGATGGAGAAGGGGCCTGCTGGGTGGGTTGCACACGTTCCTGCTGGTGGCTGCTGGTTTCCACACCATCTCTGGCTCTTGAGCAGTTGTGAGAAAAATGTAACACTGTACCTTTTCTAAGGGGCATGTTTCGGTAAAGAAGTAACAGTCTTAGTAACTTGCTTAAAAATAGATATTTTGAGAAGGTTAGGATTAATGTGGATGAGTAAGCTTAAGTCAAGTGTTCCTGGAGGCCACAGGTCTCTGGATGACCTTTAAAAAATAAATCTGATAGAATATTTAAATAAGTTAAATAAGGTTGGGCAGTTCGAGTAGTTCAGAAATTCCTGTTTACTTACCAAGAGCTGAAATACTAATGGGAAATTTTTTGTTTACTAATAATTTGTTTAGTAATAATTTAGCTTAAAGTACATTGTTTAGTAAGTACAAATAATTCAGCTTAAAGTACATTGTTTAGTAAGTACAAAACACTGTTTGAGCTCAGCTCTGTAGGTGATGAGGCACTGCCTGCAGGAGATTCCACTCCAGAGGAGGTACTCGGAGGGCACACAGGACGATGAGAGCATTGTGGGTGAAAGAAGAGCATGAGCTCCTCTGGTTGGGAGAATCAGAAAGGCCTCATGGGGGAGGTCTGCGGCCTTGACACCTGGATAAAGTTTGAAAGAAAATGGTAGCTTTGTGGGAGGTGGGGGATGGGTACCAGGTGCTGTTGGAAGGTGGCATGAAGTGACACCGGGCAGGAAAATGCATTAAAGAGACAAGGAATGATCAAGCTCAGCCAGAGCTTAGGTACTGTGGATGATGGCTGGGAGGGAAGACGGCAAAGGTAGTCGTTATCTTTGCTCGTGACTCTGGTTTAATGACTCCGTGCAAAGTCCTAGATACAGGACTAGGCAACGTTTGGGTTCCCTGGTTTAATTTCCTAGTTACTTGAAAGTAATAAGCATATTTCTTTTCGTAAAGGTAAATCTGCTAGCATTTATATAACATCGTTATTTTCAGGACGGTTCGAGGTGTGGATCTTTCAGATTATCAAGTTTTGTCCTTTAAAAAAGCACCTGAATTTCCATTATTTTGAATGAAAATTCTTCCCAACTCCTTTATACATCACCTGCATTTTTAAACAGCACGTCCTTTCAAAGGATGGTAGCTCTCTTCAGGGAAATTTTAACCAGAAGTGTTTATGAATTGAGTAGAGCTGAATAAGTCAGGTTACTGATAAACTCAGTTGCTAGAACTCCTGGAACCAGACAAAGATTAATCCTGAAACACTGTATAGGCGATGATTGTAATACGTTTTTTAAAGTAGATAAGGTTCGGTAGAAATGAGTAGGGAACTGTATTTTGATTTAGGAGTTACAGTGTGAAAAAGGTATAGAGGTGTGAGAGAATGGAAGCATCTGAAAAGATCAGTAAAAAATTTACCTGACCAGAAAAGCAAAGCGTCAGGCACATAAAGCATGAGGTTTGTGCTGGAGCCTCAGACTGGCTCACAAAAGCCAATGCTACACATCTCTTCCCAATTCAGTGACATCACATCAACAGCTTGAAAACAGTTATGGCGGGAGTATTCACGTCAAAGACATTGGCCAACCCTATAGATCAGTAAGCCAGTTGTCAGACATTCACCAGCAGACCACTGCACTTTGGGGTCCTTAGAAAGGCTCCATGAGCGTGACAACCGGGAAGTATTTCCGATTTTGAAAAATGAGTAATACAATCAAAGGGGATATGTGTCTAGATGATCCTGCTGTGTAGTAAGTTTGTTAGAGCAGAGGGTGAATAAAGGGAACCTGATTTTAAGAACGTTACAGAATATTAGAACCAGGAACAGACAATGAAAGCTATTCAGACTTGAGCTAAGGCTCCGAAATAAGAAGAGGGGCAGACAGGCCCTCCTCCTTTCATGTGTCATGAGCACCACCATTGTTTCAGGTCTTCAAGCTAGAATACTTCTCAAGTTTGAGTCCCCTCTCTCTTGTATCAAATAGTACCAGTTTTTATTAGTAAGCTCTTATTTTCCATTCCTACTGCCAACGGTCTAGGCAAGAAATACCCTGTTTGTTCCCCTCTGCCCACGCTGTCTCACTCAGCCTCACCCGAATTCCTTTCCTCAAGCAAGTCTGACCAGCCTTGAATGATCCCTCCCTTCCCTGACTTCCTGTGGCACAGAAGTCGCCACTTGGCAGTTTTCTGTTGCTTATCGTCTCCCACCAGTCTCTGATTGAAGTCCTCAAGGTTAGAAATTATGTCTTCTCTTCCTAGTGTTTTGCTTACAAACCCACAGCAGTCATTTATTCATACATATTTAATAACTATTTTTTGATAAATGGATAAGATTGGCTGCAGGAAGAACACCGGCGATCTGGGGGTGAAAGTAGATATTAGACAGTGGGAAATTGAAGAAGGAGCTGAAGTTTCAAGCACATCGATTGGAGGAGAGAGTCCAAATCTTAGCTCTGCCGACCAGCTACATTCTGGCTGGCATTTAGGGAAATGATAGGAAAAGGTATAAGCTGTAGGGATTCAATTATGTGTCCTAAAAGGGAGGAAATGTAAGTTTCTTATAATGTATTTGTTTTTCACAGAGGGCAGCCTTTGTGTAATAAATTCGTCAGGCTAAGCTAGGCTGTACGGTGGTAACAGCTTTAAAACAATGTGGTTTAAAATAGTAAATGTTTATTTCTTGCTTAGCTACTTGTTCAGTGCAGGCTCGCTGGATGCTCTGCCCCTTGTCCTCACTCAGGACCCAAGCTGATGGGGCTTCCATCTCTGGATCTTTACTGTCTCTCTCGCAGGTGACAGAAAAGTACAGATGGCACACTAGCTTTGAAAAGTTTCTTCCTAGGAGTGATACACATTACTCCCACTCACCTGTCATTGACCAAAGCAAGTCACTTGGCTGGTTATGCCTCACTCAAGGAGCAATGAAATCCCACCTCATCATGTGCCAGGAAGGAGGGAAAGCAGAATAATGAGTGCCAATATAATCAAGGCGTTTTGTTGTTTTCCCACTACCCAGACGGTTTGCCAGCCTGTCCTTAGAAGAACAGCACAAGAATGCCCGGTGCGCACATCTCTAGACTTAGAACTGGATCTTCAGGCATCTCTAACCCGGCAGAGTCGCCTCAATGATGAGCTGCAGGCCCTGAGGGGCTTGAGGCAAAAGCTGGAAGAACTGAAAGCTCAGGGAGAGACGGACCTTCCACCTGGTGTGCTGGAAGATGAGAGATTCCAGAAGCTCCTGAAAGAAGCCGAGAAGCAGGTACAGATTTCAGTGTCTCCGTTATCTCTGAGGGATTACATAGAGTCAACCTGTTTTAAAGTCTGCCATGTAGAAGTTACCCACTTCACAACTCAGTTTTGCTCAAGTCTTCAAATCCTTTTCCAAGTACTTGGAATACATTTTTTTTCCATCGTTACAGATATTTTTTAAACCCAGGATGTGGCTAAGGGTCGTACTGCCACCCCCAAGGTACAGATAAGGGGTCCCTCCACCACTCCATGCCCCCCCACCCACAACAGCAGCTCTGGTGGCCACTGGCCTCCCTCCTGACAGGGATGGGGCAGCAAATGCGAAGTGGTCATCTTCATTTCTGCTCAGCATTTTTCTTTGTCTCAACATTGAGACTTGGCAAATAAATACAGTATAACCTTTAACGTAAATGATACCTTTTCTTTGAAATTTCTATGAGTGGATCTTTAAGATTCATTAACCACATCAATTATAAAGGTATTGCTAATTTTAATGCTCCTAAGTTTTCACATTCTTTTTTATCTACAAGAAAGGTCACACTTCACATATTGGCATTCTCCCTTGTCTTTTACCATATAACTATACAAGATAGGAGTAAATCACTGATAAAAAATAAGGTATTTTTAAGATAATATTTCTGTTATTCTCCTATCTAAATATGACCCAAAATTTCAAGAACCTGTACATTTATGAAATTGATTCATCTTCTCGAGATTAGAGTTTATATTTTGGTATAGGAGTATATGTTTACACCCATATGTAGTATCCAAATAGAATTTTTCACATAGTTAAAATATTACAAGTGACAAAACATTGTTTTCTTTCAACTCCTTGGATGAAAATCTGAAATAGATCAGATGCTTCTTTAAGCTAATAGAAACTCTTATCCATAATATAAACTTCTCTTTTTGGCCCAAAGTTGTTTTTGATTATGCAGTGTATGGTACTATAGGGAAACTTTGAGTCATTTAGTTGACTAGCACTACTAATCCAAGATGAAACTTACAAATTTAACATATGAATTATTGATACCAAACTGATACCAGTAATTTTTAAAGAGAGTTTAAGCAACAAAACATATCACATATCTGTATTATATCCTACTTCATAGAAAGAAACCTTAGCACATAGTAGGATCTCGGTAAATGTCTGCTCAGTGGGGAATTGAATTGTAAGCCTTATGTTTGACACCATAGCAGACACCAGGATCATTAGACACTGTCGTGCCCTTAAAGAGCCTGTGGTTTGGTAAAAGAGATGAGCCAGATACGCCAGGTCAAGAGAAATCGCTTCCTGTTGAGATCAGGTTTCATGGAGGAAGTGGCACTTCAACTGGTCTCAGAGTGGGTGGCAGAACTTCATCCCAAGTGGGGGTGAAGAGGCCCAGCATGTACAGGACTCTGCAATAGTAAAGATCTAAGAGAGTTCCTGGCAGTGGAAGGTCCACGGACAAGAGCCTGCAGGAGAGCAGGGCCACAGCATGGCTGTCGTTTGCAAAATGGGAGGTTGAGTTAAAAGCTGAAATGACCCACACTTATATTTTTAACCTTAATAATACTTGTCATCATTTTCACTCTCTTGAGTCTTTCAATTCAACATTAGCAATAATTTCAAACTCTTGGTTGACATTGACCAACTTTAATATCTTTTGATTGTTGTGGGTCAAAGGCTTTCAGAGCTGGATTGGAGTTTTACAACTATAAATATAAGCGGAGCTTTGCATCTTTAGGTTTATTATTGTTTTTTTGTTTGTTTGTTTATTTCTAGTTTATCACAATATGAAATTCTGGATCCCTAGGTATCAATAATTATAAAAACTTCGGGACTTTTTTTCATATCACATTGATAAGATTCATCCATAAATTGCTTGTTATGTGCTTTGCTTTGACTGCTGTCCAATCTCCATTGTGTAGAGAGAAGCTCGATAAAACAAAACGTTGGTTTTTTGGAGGAAAAAAAACTAAAGGAAAATTGACAAAGCTCTGACAAGATTGATGAAGAGACGATACAGATAAAGAAAATTATAAATGTAAAGTGGGACAGAACTGCAGATCAGTTTGAAATTTAAAAAATATTTGAATACTATCAAAACTATATGCCCGTAATTTGGACAAATATCTAGGAAAATACAGTATATTAGAACTAATGAAAGGAGAGGGGTAAGAAAGAAAATTTTATACCTCTTAAAAAAATGAAAGCAATGATTAAAAATCTATCCACAAAGAAAACACAAGGTCTAGATGTTTTATACATAATTTCCACCAAACTTTCAAAGAATAGGTTCTCTCTATTTTATACAAACTCTTCCAAATACTAGAAAAAGAGAGAATACCTCACAACTTATTCTGTGTAACCATCATCCCTAATACCAAAACTAGACAATATTATCAAAAAGGAAAATCACAGGCCATTTCATTTATGAATATAGATGCAAAAATCCTAACTAAAATATGAGTAAGTGGAATCTAATAATGTACTTAAAAGATATTACATTTTGACTATGTTGAATTGTGCAATGATTTTTTTAATATTAGAAAAATCTTTCAGTATAATTAATTCCTTTAACAGAGTAAGGAGAAAAACCATTTGATCAACTCAGTAGGTGCAGGAAGAATATTGATAAAAGTCATAACCATTCATGTTTAAAACTCTTAGTAAGTTAAGAAGATGAGAACTTCCTTAATTTGATAAAACAAATGTGGTCCTAAATAGACAAACACTGGAATCATTCTTTTTAAAATCAGAAACAAGACATTAAACACTCTTCTGTTCAACATTGTATTAGGAATTCTGACCAATGTAAGACAAGAAAAATGTAGAAACAGATTGGAAACTAGAAACATAAAACTATAATCGTTTACAGATAACACAATTGTGTATATTTAAAAAATCTGCATGTTATTACAAATATTAAGAGAATTTAGCAAGATATGTAAATAGAAGAATACATAAAACTGTTGCATTGCTGTACAGCAACCAGAATCAACTAGTAAATTTAATTAAAATATTTACAACAGTATCATAGAATATCAAGTATCGAGGAATAAATTTAACAAAAATGTGCAGTACGGTAGAGGGAAAATTACAAAACCTTATGAGAAGAAATGTAAAAACACCTAAATTTATGGAGAAATATCACATTCATATAGAACAGGGGCCACGAAACTTTTTCTGTAAAAGGCCACATTTAAGTGTTATGAGCCATAGGGTCACTGCTACTCAACTCTCCCATGTAGCACAGCTGCAGCCACAGACAAGATGTAAAGAATTGGCTGTGGCTGTGTTATAACAAATGGCAGGTTATCATTTGCCAGCCCCCAATATAGAGGAAGCATTAATATTGTGGAGATGCTCAGTTCTCCCTGAAATGTACCATAGAGTTAGTGTAATTCCAAGAAGAATGCCGACATGGTTCTTCATGGAAATTGATAAATTGATGAAGAACAAAGGACAAAGAATAGCCAAGATAACTTCCGAAGAAAGGATTAAGAAGCAAAAAATGACAGTTACAAAATAGTCATGGGGATGTAAAGTACAGCATAGGGAATATAGTCAATTATATTGTAATAATTATGTATAGTGTCAGGTGGGTACTAGTCTTATCAGAGGGATCACTTTCACTTCATAAATTATATAAATATCTAACCACTATGCCGTATGCCTGAAACTAATATAATATTTAACATCAGCTATAATTGAAAAAACTAAAATTTAAATTAAAAAAATTTAAGTACTTTATTATGCTAAAAAGAAGATACTTCTAGAGAAGAAAAATAAGGAGGGGGACTTGCCCTTCAAGAAATCAAGCTTTGTTAAGCTGCTAAGGTAGATAGTACGGAATCGGAGGATGAATCAAGAGACTGATCAATGGCATGAAATAGGCAGCCCAGAAACAGACATGTGTATGTAGAGCATAGCTCTGTGACGGAGGTAGCATTCATAAGGAGGGACTGTTGAATCAGTGAAGCTAGAAAAATCATCCTTGTGGAACAAGATGATATTGGATCCTTGCCTCATATACAGAAATCAACTCGGGATAGATTAAGGACTTAAATGTCAAAAATAAGGTTGAAAACTCATAGTAACAAATATAGGATGTATCTTTTTTATGTTTTGATTATCTTGTCTACAGCACCTATTTTGTTTCCTACGTAGTTGGAGGGAAGGTAGATTGGAGCAAAACTGTTAAAAGCCTTGAATATCTTAGGTGATGGGGAGACACTGAAGATCTTAAAGACAAACTCTTTGGGAACATTGTGTGGTGGTGATGTGTATGTGATATCAACTAGATGGGGAGGTTCTTCCGAGTCCCTGGGGTTAGACCATCTCCACAAAATACAGTCACAGGAGCTTGGGCAAGATCCGAGCAGTCTCTCTAATACCGATCGAAAGATAACAGTAGTGAGGCATCCTTTTGAAGGTAAAAGTATCATAAATATACTTTCGTCCTGAATGGGTTTTTCAGTCTTTTATTATAGAATTCTGCCAAGATTTTTGCTGCTATTAACGGAAGATTCGAGGTTTGCAGGTTTTTAGGGCAATGCTTGTTTTCCTTCTACTTTAAAGAAACCCTTAGTCCAAGTAGATGAAAACAAGAAGGAGCATAGAACCTAATGGCCCAGGAGATAGATCATCAGGGCTGACTTAGATGCATTTCTCAGAGCCTCTGAAACCTGCACTTGAGAAAAAGTTGATGATTATTGCATACTTGTTCATTTTAATGATTTCCTTTTATTAAGCCAGTCAAGAATGTGTGTTTGTTTTCAGCTGCAGAAAATTCTGAGAGGGGTTTCTTGGGGGAACTTGAGCAGAAGTGTCCCCTATAAAGAAGAAAAACCTCAATGCAAATCCTCTCTCTGCTAGGGTGCCTTCAGCTTAGCATGTAAGCACCCCAGAGTGGAGTGGGGGATGAGGCAAACTTTTTGCTTCTTCCGCATTACTGTGCCTTGAAGTAGATGTCCCATCCAGCCTTGGCGAAATCTCTTTGGCCTCATTAAAGCCTTCTGATC